GTATGAAAATAACGACGAGCTTAGAGAACTGCCTTGTTCTCATCTTTTCCACAAAGACTGTGTTGATAAGTGGTTGAAGATAAATGCACTTTGCCCTCTTTGTAAGAGTGAGGTTGGTGAAAACCCAACAGGACTAGGGTCTGGAGAAGATGCCACCCAAACAACAGGATGAGAGCAGAGTTGTAAATGGAGTCACCAATCCCTAGGTTTAATCTAGTTATATACAATACATACATTTTGGATACTCTCATTATCCTTAAGACCTGAGAAATGGATAAGCTCATCTTGCAGGTTAAAAGAGGGAAAGAACAAATCACCTATTTATAAAATTGGTGGATTTTACTAAGGTAATGGTGGTGGGTTCATACACAATAAGTTTGTGTTTTTCTCTCTCAGAACATGACAGACACTTATATCTTCTTCTGAAGGGAAAGGAAATTATCTAAAAATACCCTTATTATATACAATATTACACATAATAATCTTGTAAAGTTTTTTTCCCCTTTCTATGATACTCACTTTTTCTCCACGGATGGATCGATCCATTCCAATTCCATATGATTTTTGTGCATATATTTTCTTTTGGTGGGAAGTGTATGTTGGTATGATTTAGCTGAATAGCTGATTGTTCAATTGACTCTCAGCTTGGGCTAGATATGCATGGTATTGGCATTGGCTGTTAAACATAATTTCATGTAAAAACATGGGTCACAGCGTCAAAAGAATACATAGAATCAAATACTGTATTTTGCAAGGTAGTTAAAATTGTGAGTTGTTAGGTCAGTAATTTCGAATGTTAATAAACTCAGAATTATAACTGAGTTTATTAGTCTGGACTCGTCGTAAATCGTAATGAATACTGGTAGAAAACTTGCAAGAAATTTTAAATGAAGATATTAGCTTGTTCCAGTATTTGCATTTGGCAAATATCTTTTAGTTTGTTCCAGTATTTGCATTTGGCAAATATCTTTTAGTTTGTTCCAGTTTTTGCATTCTGTTCATTTTCTCTGTTAGTTGATTTTGTTAATATTAGTTATTTTATAATTGAGTTGGAAATTTAAACTATTGATCTATTTATTGTGTTATATTATATTTGTACAAATTTACTAGTGAAAATCAAATTTGTTTAAGCTCTTGGTTTTGACTATTTTGGTCAATTGCTTATTTTATGAGGCAAATGTGGCGTCTCTGCAAATGTATTTGATTTTTCCTGGTTACTCAGCAATGCAATTGGTACGGGATGTACAGTGGGAGTTCAAGTTTCAGGTCAGGCAGGTCATATTATAAACCAGTCCAATCTAAATGGAATCATCTTCGGAAGGCATTTAATGCATTTTATATATCATTAGAACATTGAAAATATAAAAATGTTTACCGATTTTGGAGTTTCATCTTTAGACACATCTAAATACATACCTAAGTCAATTCTGAGTCACGTCTTAAAAGTGTGGGTTTTTTTAATCTGAAGATGCATCTCCGTAACCTGTCCGTAAATTCATCTTTGTAGCATATAGAAATAAAAGTAGAAAATCAGAAAATTGTATTTTCACGTATCCCTTATATCTGCATCCGTCTTGAACTCATAGTGATTGAACTCAATCTTGTATTTGTTGTTAATTGATGGTGAACGATACTCAAACTTCACAATTTTTCCATTATGTATATAAGGTAGGAGATTATGCACTTCGTATTGCAGATATGTAAAAGGAGCGTACTCATGGATCTTAAATTCTTGCCCAAGTGTCGCGCTAGAAAAGGAGACATTTGTGACATACCAGAGTTCATTTGCGACATGATACAAGAGTCTATTTATAGTAGTTGTAGACAAATATGAACCTAAAAAATTAAGTCTTGTATCGGTGTAGGTTTCGAATGCATCTCTGGTACCATCTTATTCTCTTATTCTGAAGATGCATATACGAAATATCCATTGGGCTGCTTAAATATTAATATATTTGTTGAAAATATTCGGAGATGCATCTCCAGAATAAAATTGTTTTACTCTCGGGTGACACTCATTTGGTGCATTATAAGGTGGTGCAAGCGTACATCTGAAATCTGAAGGCATTTTAAATTTTTCATATGGTGTTTTTCTATTCTATAAGGTGAGATAAAAAATTTCCTCCTCATATATAGGTTTGGGCTCATAGGGAAGGAAATGCTAATGGACCTATCAAATCGACCCAATATGGGCATGGTTCACCCAACACCAATTCTGAGTCATGTGTAAGGTTGACTTCCACTATTTTCATAGACTTGACTCGTTCTTCTTCTTTATCTTTTGGTTCTCGCGTGAATTTCATCGATGGTGACTAGCGTAACTGTCGTAAAATGCATCATTTATCGGTAGCGAAAGTGAATAAACGTCATTCTAAAGGATTGTGTTTCAAATGCAATAAATGAAGTGTTCCTCTCCATCAAAGTATATTGAAACAATTGAGATTATTATTTTAGGGGAGGATGAAACTATCAACGAAGAAGAAGGTAAAATTGTGGCATAGGAAGCAACATCTAGCAACAAATGAGAGGTTGAAGAGGTAGACTGCAAAGAGCTCGACTTTTTGAAGCCTCTTTCATTTCTTCTCAAGTTCGTACAATGAGATTAGAAGATAGATTAGAGAGAACTAATTGTTGACTGAATGGCTTCAAACACCAAAGAGACATGAATTGTGTTCAAAATTTAAAAATAATTTGTAATTAAAATAATTATTTTTGATATGTGAACACAGATATGGATAAAATATAGAAAGGGGATGGAGAGTAAGAAAGATACATAACAAAAATAATATAAACAAATAAATAATAAAGAAAATTCACCAAAGATCTATACAGCTTATGCCTAACTATTTGGTTTACTCCTATTTTCAAGAGTTTCTTCTTATGACTTCCACTAAAAATTACATTTCAACTTCTTGCAAGATCAACCCACAAATATTCAACAACAAACAGAACTTTTACGTTGCTCAGAAACCAAAAAATAGAGCTTTTACACAGGTTTAACTCTATAACCAATAAATAAAACTTTTATATAGGCTTAACTCAGTAACGAGCAAATTGAGTTTTTACACAAATTTATCCCATGAATCAACAAACAAAGCTTTTACACAAACTTAACTCTAGCTCAATCATAGACACTTGAGAATTCAATCTACAACCCTTCAACTTATATCTGACACCCTATACGTTGAATGAATGTACTCTATTATCCTTCACAACTTTAAAACAATATTTTCAAATTCACTTAAAATTATCGCATTTATTAAAATTGTTTGGCGATACCAAAAATTTGCAAACTCATTTGACAATGTTATCCAAAGTAAGCTTTTTTTCAACTTCCATAAATTTTTACTGACATTTTAAAATATATGTTAAAAAATCAAAATTCTCATGAGCTTTTATCAAAAATTTAAAATTTTTCGATAAAAACTCATGTATTTATGTTTGTATACATTTGAGTTTATACTAATAATTTTAAAATTTCAAGAAAACGCACATATATGTATAAAAAATTTTAAAATTGCTGATAATTCAATTTATTTAAAATAGTAGCGGGAATTTTAAAATTGTCGTTAGTAGCTGCAGAATTCTGAAAAATTTAAAATTATTGGTAGTAGTTAGCAGTTTTTTTTTGTTTGTTTTAGTTGAAGACTAGAGGAAGGGCCGACGCTATTGCTTCCAAAACTATTATTGACCCAACTAAAGGCTGCACTACCAAAATTTTCGAATGGTCAAAATTTTCGATATTACACAGTATTGCTTAAAACACTGATAAATGTTTCAAAGATATCAGCATTACACGGTATTTGTTAAAACATCGACAATGTTTCCCCGATATCAAAAATTTTACAAAAAAAATAAATATAAATTTATACCGACAATTTTAAATGAACTACCAAAATTTTAACGTCAACTGTGAATGCCCTACCAGAAATCTTGTTCGACCATTATGATCAAAGTGTACAGGGGCAATTTTAGAATTAATGAAATATGTAGAGGTGCCAAATAGATGTAAGTTGAGGTGGCAGATAAAATTCTCTAGAAGATTTGATCACGTTGGATTGATAAAAAATTGGAAAGGACTACAGGCACATTAACTCAAGGCACTCAAAGATGTAGTGTATAATCTAGCCTACATCTAGACCAATACTAGTAGCAAATAAATCAAGCCTCGCTTTCCAAATATCCTATTGAACAAAAAAGTACAAACTTTACCATCTAAAGATCTCTCTGAGACCTAACAAATCGCCCTATTTTACAAAATTAAAATAGTATAATAATATTTTTGCTACTATTATGATAAAAACAATTCAGATAATAAAATGATTTAAAACCACTCTTATCATTTTTTATCCAAAAATAATCTCTAAGCCTAAATTAAACAAGTGAAAGTTACTGGAAAAATAAGAGTGACAAGTCCACTGTATATATTTGCTACTTGCCATTCGGTTTCTCCTTTATTTCTCCAATTTGGTCAATTGAAGTATTTAAAAAAAACACATGTCATTACCATTACCATTAGAACCGTTGAGATTGGAAAATTGTGATATATATCATTTCGCCATAACCATTAGCATCAACACATCACTAAACAAAACTGAGAAAAAAGACAAATGAAACTAATGTATAATAGTGTCTATTGTAAAAGCCCCAAAGTTGCTCACCAAGGTACAATTCAGGCAGTCAACAAGCCGCCTATCTATCCCAAGGGAAAACCACCTTCACTTGGATGTGTATTTTCCTTATAACTCTTATGGCCAACATTGTTTTCACTGGCCTTCAAATTCATACAATGGAACGCTGCACAAGCAACTCATCAAAAGCAAAACACTTCAGACCATATTAAGCAAAACAAGACGCAGCTGAGGACTATACAGTCTATAAACTGACACATGTGAAACATCTTCACCCTAATGTAAAATTTCCTGTTTTTACACTATTTATATCCAACCAAACCAATTGTGGGTAGAAAAACAATTCACCATTCACATTTGGAAATCAATTCACAAGTGACCAAAGGAAGTACTGGCTTCAGCTGTCGCATTCTTCTGTTTTGATGAAGCAGAATTTGCTGGCAACGTAGGCTCTGAAACATCACCAATATCCAGTGAGTCTGGAAGATTTCCAGAAGAGTCAACAGCATCGTCAAACTGTAAGATGAAAACAAGTTATTAGAAAATGGATTAGATTTGCAACTTAATGTGCAGTAGAATTGATCCATTAACATGATTACAAGTATAGCCACCAATAGTATTTCCCAAGGATGTTCGACACAATTAAACTAAGATAAATCTAGTAAGCAATTCATTATATCTAGAAACTGACTGGCTAAAATTAATCAATACAGAAATTTTTAGACAATCTAATAGCATATGACTCCTATTTTCATCTGCATATATAACAGAACAATATACTTATTCATAGCATATGCTTTTATACTAGTTTCAAATCAGTGATGTGATATTTCAATATTCCTTTCGCCTAAAACAAAAACTAACAAGTGAAATAATTAAATCAAAGAGAAACGTATGAACAACAAAGCATTGCACATTGGGAATAAAATAGAAAAGAAACTACCCAAAAGGGCATTAAAGCCAATTTGGATAAACAACTAAATCGTGCGCTTACAGCATAAGTGCTCATGTATAAGTTATTTCTATAAGAAATGATAAAATAAAGTCACACTGTTTTCACATAATTACCAGCAGTTTTCACAAGCTATCCAAGAGACCATATGGAAATAAGTTGAAATCAGCTTATGAACAAGTCATAAATTGTTTCTATAACCTTTCAAACAGTCTCACAAATATGTAAGTCAGATAAGCTCAAATAAGTTAATCCAAATACGTGCCAACTCCTGAGTGTTTAAACAAACAAACTTGGAGTGTACAAAATATGAATGAAAAAATATCAAAGACAATTTAACAAAACACGTATTTAAAGAAATTCAAACTTGGCTCAGCAATCTTAGGGCACCCTGCGAGGTTCAACAACTACAAGATGGTAATTTTTTATGTCCAATGTCATCTGGAGATGCAATCATCAGGTAAGGAAATGAGTACACATGGAAAGGGGGAAAGGAAGGGTGTGTTATCAATTAGTTGTTTCGAGATCATCTGCATTTAAGTATACATTCTAACCAAAATTTACAGTCACTGACATGGTATATGCATGATTCAACACTTACAGTTACAAAACCTGAATATTTAATTAAATCTTGTGTATATAGAGACAAAAAACAGCCAGGCCACTTCACGGATTGGATGGAGTTAGTGAAATGTGGCATTGAATGAACAACCGAAGTTAAATCCCAAAAGCTAACAATTTTAAGAGTACCTCAAGTTGGCTGAGCATGTCAACAGCAGCATCCAGGTCCCCACCGTTTACGTTGTAGACATCTACAAGGGACTCATCAGATATCCCAGGAAATGTCATCCTAAGATATTCCAAATCTATATCAAACTCTTCATCCATAAAATGATTATCTGCCAGCGGTGCTACACTCTGTGCTGATGAAAAGTAAGAACTAGAAGCAGGCTGGCTTTTCCCTGGAGAGAGCCTTTGGGGGTTTTTCTTGAGAAGTTGGACATTATTTGTGGCATATTGAGGAGTCTGATTCCATGCAGTCCCATCATAGTCTTGGGAACTGTTATTCTCCTCTTCCGCCGGATAAAATCTAGCGCTAGCATCCCTTTTCGAGACAGGAACGTATGCGGCTGCATATGGATTCAAAGAAGACTTCCGTGGCTTCATGGTGTTACTGCTAAAATCAGATCAGATAGATAAACAATTCTTCTTGTTTTCCTTTTCCTTTTATGAAGAAACCGAAACATACAAGAGTAAAAACTAGTCAACATACTGCTACAGTAAATCAAAAGGACACATTCAAGGAGAAAAAAAACCCAGATTCAAAGCTGAACGAATTCACAAACGCAAATAACACAAAACTGAGACAGTAGAAAATGATTGAACAGATTCTAAATCAAAAGCTACCCACTCTTGCAACCGAATAAACAGTGCATGGAATTGGTACTAAAAGATCTAAAAACACGACCAAGCAAAAAATAAAAGCATTTAAATCTGACTCTGTTCTAATCATTTTCGAACACTATCATGATTAAGATCAACAACCCCTAAAAATGAAGCATAAATCGAAGCATAAATAAAATTGCTGTGATCATGAATTCAACAAAATAAAACCATTGAATCGAACAGAACTATAAACAGTTTCGTTTTGTTTTCATTTCAACGAACATTTACATGAGCAAGAATCAATGATTAGAATAAACATCGATTCAAAGGGAGAGAAAACTAACCAGTTAGACAAAAAAAAATCACGAAACCCTAATTTTGGGGAGCGATCTGAATGAAATGTAGAGAAAAGTTTTATTTTCAGTATTTATATTTATTTTGTATATAAATGTAAATACAATTAAACACTATTTAAGGGAGAATGTCAAATTATGACCAGGCTGTAATAAGCTTTTATTTTATTTTATAAATTAAAAAAAATGATAGATTGAGGGTGTAAATTATTTTATATCATTAATTAATGATGGTGTAAAATTTTTTTAACTAATTATATAACATAATAATAAAATAATATATTTTTATTAAATGACAATATAAAATATTTTTACAATCTACTACAATTTAGTATTTTTTTAAAGAAAAAATTAGTATTTTAATTTTGTTTTTTATAATAAGTTCCTTTAGTGTTGTCCTACAATGTTTATCATAGTTGAATTTGAACATTAACTAGACATGTTGTATAAAACAACATTATATATTTTAAATTTATTTTACTTTCAACTAGTCGTATGTTATAATATGATATGGTATGAAGTCTAGATACTACAAATTAAAAGAAGTATTCATCTTTGATATTTATGAGATAAAAATAGCTCTAAGATTTTTTTGAATTAAATGGTTTGAAGTCTAGATACTACAAATTGAAAGAAGTATTCATCTTTGATACTTATGAGGTAAACATAACTTTAAGATTTTTTAAGAATTTTTTGAATTAAATGGTTTGAAGCCTAGATACTGTGGGCTTAAGCGAAATATGGTACACCATAAAGTATAATCCACTTAAGTGAGTTTTTTCAACTTGTAGCCCACACAAGTTGTTATATAAATAAAACCCTTGTACACAAACTTTTACACTTGATGCAACTTTGTTTAGAACTGTCTTTATCTCTAAGTTTTCATTTTTATCAGTTAGCATTGAGATTGAAGGCTGAGTAGAGACGTTCTTTGTTTGTCACTTGTGATCATTCATGTGATTCTGCATCAAAGATTTTAATTGCAACGATAGATAACGGTTTCTACCGCTAATCATTTCCTTTCACAAGGATCAACTAAAGAAAAATTTTTATTTTCCGATGAGCCTTGTATCGCAATTTTCCTTCAGGTTACAAACTGCTTCCCAAAATTTATAGTCCATTTATAGTTAAAGATCGCATTGGCTCGACAGCTTATCAGGTGCAACTTCTCCCATTTGCTGCCATGCATAACATTTTTCATGTCTCTCATCTAAAGCTATGTCAAAATTCTAAAGACCAACAAATTCAACACTTACTTGCTCATGTGTTTCATGAGGCCAAAACTCCTCTTGCCATTCTTGACAAAAAGATGGTCAAAAGTGGTTGCATCGCAGTTATTAAAGTTCAGATTTACCCTTTAACTAAGCCACTTGAGAATTTACTATGATCTACTTAAGAGTTTCTGGATTTTCATCCATGAGCACATGGATGTTGTGAAGAAGAGGATATTGTCATAGAAATTCAAGGATCACAAACAAACTTATTCTTTATCTATTTTGTTGTTTTCTCTATTTTGTCTTACTCAACATTCTAGAATGATGAAGGGTTAGATTCGATAGATTCTCTTAAAATAATGATTGATTGATTTGTGATCAACTTGATCTTTATAACTATAATAGTTGTATGAAGAAAATTTATTCATTATCAATCAATTCAACTTTTTTCTCGATCTATTCAATTACAACATTTTATTCTTTGTTATCAACCAACTTTTCTAAAATCTAGTGTGAATATTAACAGCACATCTTTCTAATATCCAAAAGTGATACCAACTTTTATTTTAATCAAAGATAATATGTATTTTATTTTAATCAATTATTATTTTTACTTGAGAGACAAATTATTTATTTTCAAATGTCAAAAAAGAAAAATTCTTTCTCCAATTTATGACTCTTTTTATTTTTTTAATGATTATATAACACAAGTGAGTTTGTACGATAATTATTTATTTTACAATTAGATAACTCATTTTAAATTTATAAATATCTTTAAATATATTTTATACTATATCAAATAAATTTTATTTGTGCGAAGTATTTTATACATTTTAGAAAATAGATTACTTGGTGGGAATGTACTAATTTTATGTTTCTCTGCTTCTCTTTATCAATATCAAATAATTTTAACAGCACAACAAAGACCAAAGCTTAAAATTTTCAATTATAAAATTTGAACATTTTGGTATGAGCCTCTCAAGCCTTATTCATTTTTATAAGAAACATATAATGCATTGGGTATTGATCTTTAAAAATTTGGAAATTTTTGGTCCAATGAGAAGGAAACCAACAAAATGTCAAAAATTAAGAATCTAATTATATGTTTGGCTTTGATTTTGGAAGAGAAAAAAAGTGATTTTAAATTTAATTGTGATTTTCACATTAATTCACTTTTACATAAGTGTGTCAAAATAAATTATTTTCCCTTCAATTCACATTTAACCAAAACCAATTTATAAAATTAATTCAATCAAAATCAATTTTTTCTGTGGCATAACTAAACACACTATGAAATTAGATAAAATTTTCTAGACATGCAATCCCCCAAAAATATAAACAGAAATTTTATTCTTATACAAGAGTCTGAAGATAGACAAAAGTTACGAATCTGGATTCTCTGGTGACTGCACGGTCCTGGATTTAGTGAAAATTGGTCATAAAAAATTTGAAAAGAGATCAAATTGAGTGAGGTAATGAGAAAATAGCTTTCAAAATACACTAAATGTTAGAGACTGTGATTTTAATACTACATATTTTCTTTAATCAAAATTGAATTTCTGTACAGAACTAATAATAGACTGATTTATTCTTCATGACATAAGCATCTACATATTAACAAGCTCAATTTGAGCAAAAAAATAATTTGCATCTACACACTACTTTCATACATTCAAAAACTGTCCCAAAATTCCCCCTTCCCCTTGAAAAACGACGAAAATTCTATGAAGTTGCGATGTTACTTGGTTGCAAATCAATCCTGAGATGTGGCAGAATATTCAAAAAGAATGCGACTGGTTGAAGAAGATTGTAGGAGCACGCGCAAGCGACTTGTAAGCAGATAGCTCAAGGTCCACTGCATTGCCATCTCGGACTCTTTCATTTGCCTAAGCATTGTGGCCTGGAAAAAAATAAAGCTTCTGAAAATTATGAACTTATATAACTGCCACGAGTTAACTGAAATTAGTAGCAACATAGGTTTTGGGAAGCAAAGTTTTTGTTGCTAGTTAATTTTTATATTATTACCTGAAGCCGTTTGCCAAGTTGGACTTCAACTTCTGTACCAAACGATATGTTACTAGTTAGTGACTTGAGAGGATCTGCGGTAGGATCAACAGAAACTAAACTAGGAATCTGAGGTGCATACACTAGTCTCCACCTAGCCTGGCCAAACTCTCCCTTTCCTTCTATCCGTGGCATCAATTTTTCAAGAGTCGCAGTTGCAAGCTTTTGAAATGCAAGCTGACCATTGCCTTCCAAAATGGACTCGGCCAATTGACTCTCAAATCTTCTGGCAGCCTGTATACATGGATAAAGTCGAATAATAGGACTGTCCTGCTTTAATATCATATCATGAAGGCATCTATTATCTATTTTAACATGGGCATATATTTTACCTCAGTAGGTGAGAGTGCATCCTGTTCCACAGAACGAGTCGAGGTCACCACAAGTTTGTCCTGCCAATTGCTGGCTCTACCTTGGATTCTAAATTGCCATTCAGATCCAACCAAAACCAGGTCTAGCATTGGATCTAGTCCATTCTCAGGCTCGAATTTTGCAATATTTAAATGCTCTCGTTTTAGCCTCACCTACATTTAAAATGAGTAGTATCAAGCTACACAACTGATTAAGAAACGCAAAAATAAAACCATAGCAAAAGATAGAAAAGAAACACAGGATACAATTTATGAAAGTTGCCGAGCAGAGTAAAAACGTGACACAAACCATAGCAAAATTAAGATAGAAAAGAAACACAGGATACAATTTATGAGAGCTTCTGAGCTGAGTAAAACGTGACACAAACCTGGGTGGCAACTAGATCGACTTCACCATTCTCAAATGCCAGTACGCCTCTAGGTTTTATCCATTTGGGATGCGCAAGACCATTCAGCTCAAGCTCTCCACTGACAGCAAAATTGAGAATCAAAGGATATACTATCTTTAGCTCTGGTCCAAGGACAAGCTTCAAATCATTAAGGCAAATTTCTACATTTGGTTTAATCTGCACTTGCTCCATCTCATTTTCAACCTGACTTGACTTATTAACTGCCACAATTTTTTTCAGAAAGAAAAGAGATCATAATATACACAGGTAAAAGTAACTAATAATATATACAAAAGTAGAAGATCAAATAAGTTATCCGAACATCCCTAAAGTTTATGACATCACTGGCTACACTAAAAGATTAGTAAAGCAATACCAGAGCCAGAGGAT